CCCACACACACACACATATCCACCCCTACACACACCCACACCCACACACATATCCACCCCTACACACACCCACATATCCACCCCTACACACACCCACACCCACACACACTCTGTCCCATCCTGCGGCAGCCACAAGGTCGAGGTAAGGTCAAGGTCAGGGTCAAACAGTCCATGCTGCCGGTCAGCTCCTGGGCTCACTGCCCACAGGATCAGATCCTCGTCCCCTTTAACTGAAGAACCTGAGGGACAGAAAACACACACAATGGCTTTTACTCCACAATCAACCCCATTAGGCATTAGGTTAAAAGCAATTAGGCCACTTTTTAGTTTTAGTAAGAGTTTTACGGCACTTGCAACACAATAAGGTCATATAAGTGCCGAAGATTTTTTAAAAAGTTTTCATAGAGTTTTTACGATGCTCGCAAATGCATATGATCATATGAGCGCCAAGGGGTGGGTGTCAACAGAGAAGCCTTCACAGGGAATCAGACTTAGACTGCTCAGTTCTCTAGCTTCAACAGCACAAAGTCTGCTTCCACTATCAAGGAACCTCGGAAATAGCAGGTCAAAAGAGAGTGACAAACATACAAAAGAAGTAGAGGAAAATGACAATAGTAAGGATTAAGAAAGAAAAAGCAGCAGTTCCCTGTTGTAGATCAGGCACATTATGAGCGTGACATTGATGAACCAGCCCATTTACAATTCTACTATGCTTGAACGAGAAATGTCCCCCCTTTGGGAATGGCCTAAAGACACTACAGTCAGTGGCACTGGCCCGGGGGGAATGGCCTAAAGACACTCCAGTCAGTGGCACTGCCCCGGGGGGAATGGCCTAAAGACACTATAGTCAGTGGCACTGCCCGGGGGCGTAGGAAAAACAAAGACACACAATGGGTTTTACTCCACAATCAACCCAGTTAGGCATTAGGTTAATGCAATTAGGCCACTTTTTAGTTTTAATAAGATTTACGGCACTTGCAACACGATAAGGTCATATATTATATAAGCACCACAATAAGGTCATATAAGTGGCGAAGACTAGAGGTGTTACAAGAGAGTAACATACACAAAAAAAAGGAGGGGAGATAAGGACGATAGATTAGATGTTTGATAGGAAAGAAGGAGCAAACCACACCAGAGCACCCGCCAACCACCCACGGAGGGGAGATAAAGACGATAGATGTTTGATAGGAAAGAAAGAGCAAACCACACCAGAGCACCCGCCAACCACCCACGGAGGGGAGATAAAGACGATAGATGTTTGATAGGAAAGAAGGAGCAAACCACACCAGAGCACTCGCCAACCACCCACAGAGGGGAGATAAAGACGATAGATGTTTGATAGGAAAGAAAGAGCAGACTACAGCAGAGCGCCCGCCAACCACCCGCTCACCTTGGCTCTGTCGGAGGGCTCGTCTGATCCGTTGAGAAGCGTCGGACACTCCTTGGAGACCACAAACAGAAACTCCGCGTGGTCCTCTGTGCCATAGTTGTAGTGGGAGCCGATGTTGATTAGCTGTCGGTGACATATAGAGCGACACATTAGTGGGGGGACACGACACATTGCTACACTAGTTGTAGTGGGAGCCGATGTTGATTAGCTGTCGGTGACACATAGAGCGACACATTAGTGGGGGGACACGACACATTGCCACATGACACACTGCTACATGACACATTGCTACACTAGTTATAGTGGGAGCCGATGTTGATTAGCTGTTGGGGACACATAGAGTGACACATTAGTGGGGGGGACACGACACATTGCTACATGACACACTGCTACACTAGTTGTAGTGGGAGCCGATGTTGATTAGCTGTCGGGGACACATAGAGCGACACATTAGTGGGGGGACACGACACATTGCTACACGACACATTGCAATAAGACACATTGCTTCATGACACATTGCTACACTAGTGGAAGAGGGAGCCTATGTTGATTAGCTGTCCGGGATACACAGAGGGGGAGACACACATTAGTGGGGGGAAGACACATGGCTACATGACTCATTAGTGGAGGGGGACACAATGCATCGCTACAAGACACATTACTGGAGGGGGGAACATGACACACGACACATTACTGGAGGGGGGACACAACATGTTTAGTTTTAGTGTAATTGAGAGTTTTACTGCGCTTGCAACACAATAAGGTCATATAAGTGCCGAACATCAGGTGTGTTACAAGAGAGTAACAAACACAAAAAAAGGAGGAGGGGAGATAAAGATGATAGATGTTCTATAGGAAAGAAGAAGCAAACCACACCACAACATCCGCCAACCACCCACATGATACATTACTGGGGGGGGAAACACCACACACACACACGCACTCACACAGACACACACACAGACACACACACACACACACACACACACACACACACACACACACAAACACACCGACACGACACACACACACACCCAAACACAACACACACACACACACAACACACACACACACACACCCAAACACAACACACACACACACACACACCAACCTGCTCAAACTTCCACCCGTCGGGGATTGTAGAGACCATCTGTGTGAGCTCCTGACCCGAACATTGCATCACTCGGTACACGTTCTTCAGGAAGGTCTGTGGACAAAGAAAAGTTTCCGTTTTAGTAGAGGTTTTACGGCCCTCGCAACTGCATAAGGTCAATATAGTATAGTAGAGGGTTTTACGGCGCTCGCAACTGCATAAGGTCGTATGAGCGCCAAGGGGTGGGTGTCAACAGAGAAGTCCTCACAGGGAATCAGACTTACTCTGCTCACCTCTCTAGCTTCAACAGCGCAAAGTCTGCTTTGACTATCAAGGCACCCCGGAAATAGCAGGTCAAAAGAGAGTGACAAACATACAAAAGAAGTAGAGGAAAAAATGACAATAGTAAGGATTAGGAAAGAAAAAGCAGCAGTTCCCTGTTGCAGTTCAGGCACAGTTATGAGCATGACATTGTTGGATCAGCCCATTTACAATTCTACTGTGCATGAACAAGAAATATCCCCCCTTTGGGAATGGCCTAAAGACACTTCAGTCAGTGGCACCGTCCCGGGGGATGACAAAAAACAACACTACATCACTGGGTACACGTTCTTCAGGAAGGTCTGTGGACAAAGAACAACACTATATCACTCGGTACACGTTCTTCAGGAAGGTCTGTGGACAAAGAACAACACTATATCACTCGGTACACGTTCTTCAGGAAGGTCTGTGGACAAAGAACAACACTATATCACTGGGTACACGTTCTTCATGAAGGTCTGTGGACAAAGAACAACACTATATCACTCGGTACACGTTTTTCATGAAGGTCTGTAGACAAAGAACAACACTATATCACTGGGTACACGTTCTTCATGAAGGTCTGTGGACAAAGAACAACACTACATCACTCGGTACACGTTCTTCATGAAGGTCTGTGGACAAAGAACAACACTATATCACTCGGTACACGTTCTTCAGGAAGGTCTGTGGACAAAGAACAACACTATATCACTCGGTACACGTTCTTCAGGAAGGTCTGTGGACAAAGAACAACACTATATCACTGGGTACACGTTCTTCATGAAGGTCTGTGGACAAAGAACAACACTATATCACTGGGTACACGTTCTTCATGAAGGTCTGTGGACAAAGAACAACACTATATCACTCGGTACACGTTCTTCATGAAGGTCTGTGGACAAAGAACAACACTATATCACTCGGTACACGTTCTTCATGAAGGTCTGTAGACAAAGAACAACACTATATCACTGGGTACACATTCTTCATGAAGGTCTGTGGACAAAGAACAACACTACATCACTCGGTACACGTTCTTCATGAAGGTCTGTGGACAAAGAACAATACTATATCACTCGGTACACGTTCTTCATGAAGGTCTGTGGACAAAGAACAACACTATATCACTCGGTACACGTTCTTCATGAAGGTCTGTGGACAAAGAACAACACTATATCACTCGGTACACGTTCTTCAGGAAGGTCTGAGGACAAACAACAACACTGCTAATAGTGTGGTCAAAAATTCGTGGCACAACTTATTGTCAAATATCTCCTCAACTACTGAACATACACTCTCCAGCTTTTGCACAGCGACTTGTAGCAATTTGTCTTAACAGATCAATATTTTTGTACGTTAAAAATTTTTAATAAATACGGTTGGGACGAGTGCGTCATTTTTTTCTAATCGCGAGATTATCTTTATTGAACGCATGTTTTGAGAAATTTTAGTGCAAAAAAGTGTTCACTATAAAACTAATTTCTTGCAACTAGTTTTGCCCTTAAAAAGTGTCATTGGTGAGCTGTGACGTAAGCCATATGCGTATACAAAATGTGTGTAAGAAGCAGGAAGTGCTGTGAACAATTCTATTTTCCTCGTGAAGGAGGTTTGTAGTGTTTTATATAAATTCATGAAAAAAAGTTTTAAAGTCTAGCATCAATTTTTGTGGAAAAATATGATTAAGTTAAGACAAATTGAGACAAACTGCAGTGCAAAATATGGGTGACACTGACTCACCCGTTATAAAGATATTTAAGGATAAGTTGTGCCACGAATTTTTGACCGCACTATAGTTTTAGTTTTAGTAAGAGTCTTACGGCACTTAAAACACAACAAGGTCATATAAGTGCCGCAGAATAGAAGTCTTACAGGAGAGTAACATAGACAAAAAAGGAGGGGAGATAAGGGTGATAGATTATTTGATAGGAGAGAAGGAACAAACCACACCAGGGCACCCGCCAACCACATACATACAAAAGAAGTAGAGGAAAATGACGATAGTAAGGATGAGGAAAGAAAAAGCAGCAGTTCCCCCTATGTTGTTCCGGCACAGTATGAGCATGACATTGATGAATCAGCCCATTTACAATTCTACTGTGCATAGGAAAAAGTTAATATCTCCCCCCCTCCTTTGGGAATGGCCTACAGACACTTCAGTCAGGAGCACTGCCCTGGGGGGGGGGGGGGGGGAGGAACACGTCTAAACCAAAAAGATTTGCGTGCGCCCACAGTACCTGGTTTTGTTTGGCGTCCCTTTCTGTTATCCTCTCCTTCACCACCTTGATGAGCTCCGTGATGTTGTAGAACTCAGCCTCCTCCAAAACACCTGCACAAGCACACAAACAAAAAAATCCTCAATTGTTGGGGCAAATTTTTTAAAGGGCAATTTGGTCCTTTTTAAGGGCAAGCAGGCTAACCCAGATTTTGAGGGTTTCTCAAAATTTTGACCCACACCAAAAGTGGCCATTGCCCTACCTATAGGAGAAGTTTGGTTTCATTGGTGTGTATATTTGTTTGGTTATAGAGAAAACTCTCCATTGTCTTTTTAAAAAACTGAACAAGGGGCAAAAACTTTACCTTCGATTTTCTCAAAACAGCTTTTTTTGGGAAATCCCCCTTGTGCATAAAAGCGACCATTTGTGGCTTTCCTTCACAGCTTACCATCTCGTGACCTCAGTGCTTTCTTGTCGTATCCCCCTTTTTCTTAAACAATGAAAAATGTGACTTCTTCTTAAGCTCACTCTTTGTTATGAACTGTTTTCACTGTTGTGAAAAATGGAGAAGCAAGTCAATTGCAAGCCTTGACCATAGCATTAAACTGCATTTTGGTGAAGGAGAAAGGCGCATCTTTGGAAGAGCTTTGGGTGGGAGTAAACATTGAACATTTTCAAAATTTGGACTGAAGTGGAATACTTGTGGCAGTGAAAACATTTGGCTTTTTTTTATAGCCTTTTAAAAATGTTGCATTCTTTACAAAGAAAAGATGGGGGAAAGAGAAGGACGATAGATGTTTCAAAGGAAAGAAGGAGGAGAGAAAGGATCAATAGATATTTGATAGAGAAGAGATGGAGGGGAGATTTAGATAGATGTTTGACAGGAAAGGAGGGGAGATTTAGAGGACGATAGATGTTTCATAGGAAAGGAGGAGAGATAAGGACGATAGATGTTTGATAGGAAAAAATGAGGAGAGATAAGGACGATAGATGTTTGATAGGAAAGAAAGAGGAGAGATAAGGATGATAGATGTTTGATAGGAAAGGATGGGAGATTTAGAGGACGATAGATGTTTCATAGGAAAGAAGGAAGAGAGATAAGGACGATAGATGTTTAATAGGAAAGAAGGAGGAGAGGTAAGGACGATAGGTGAGTGTTTGATAGAAAAGAAGGAGGAGAGATCGGACGATAGATGTTTGATAGGAGAGAAGGAGGAGAGATAAATAATAAAAATAAAATAATATATAACATTTATAGAGCGCATTTCCAAAAAAAGTAGCTCAATGCGCTTTACATTGGAATACCCATTTTTCAAAAACCTTTCTTACTACTTCCTTTCTTCTCAAGCAATATACATTAATGCACACACACACACACACACACACACACACACACACACACACACACACACACACACACAGAGACTATTTTCATCCAGACATAGGAAAAGAACAAATGTAATGAAAGATAACGTTAAAAGCTTATGAAGGATAGGCCTGTAGGAACAGAAAATGTTTAAGATGTCTTTTGAAGCTATCAAGTGTTCTTATTTGTCTTAGTTTCATGGGTAATCTGTTCCACATAAATGGACCAAGATATGAGAAAGATCTCTCTCCATATGATTTGTATGATTTTACAGGTGTCACAAGTAGGGTGTTATCATTCGATGATCTTAGGTTTCTCCCTGGTTTATATATACTGATAAGTTCTTGTAGATAAAAAGGAGCAGTTTTATTTACACATTTGAAACACATGACGCAGATTTTAAATATTATTCGTTCTTTTACAGGGAGCCAATGCAGTTCTTTTAATAATGGAGTGACATGGTCTCGTTTTTTAGATCTTGTTATCAGTCTAGCGGCATTGTTTTGAATTACTTGTAAACGATTCAAATATTTGTTGTTCAGACCTGCCAGGAGTGAGTTACAATAGTCTAATCTAGATAGGATAAGAGATGTTACCAGTGTTTTTGTGGTCTCTTCGCTTAAGTACTTTCGAACTAGGCCTATCCTTCTCAGCTGAAAATAAAGGGATTTGGACAGAGATCCTACAAACGAGCCCATTGATAAGTGGTGGTCAATATATACACCGAGATTCCTGACAACTTCTTTACTAGATGTCATATGCCCATATAAATCAAAGTTGACACTTTCCAGATCTTTATTTAATCGTGGATTTTTTATAAGAATGATGTCTGTCTTTTCTTCGTTTAGTTTCAATTTGTTTACTGTCATCCACTTTTTGATTTCATAAAAACATTGTTTAGTGATGGAAATCATGTTTGGTAGATCTTGAATGGTGCCATTAACATACATTTGGGAATCATCGGCATAAAAATGATAATTCAATCCATGATTTTGTAAAATGCTTGCTAAGGGCTGTGTATATAGTGTAAAGAGCACTGGTCCAAGAACGGACCCCTGTGGAACTCCATAATCGAGCCTGACCTGCTTTGAAAAGCTATTTTTAATTTGCACTGACTGAACTCTTTCTAGTAAATATGACTTAAACCATGAAAGCACAGTACCCGATAAGCCAAATGAGCGCTCAAGTCTTGTGAGTAGAATAGCATGGTCAATTGTGTCAAAAGCTGCGGACAGATCCAAAAGAGTTAAAAGACAGATGTTTTTGCTATCAATGGAATCCAATAAATCAGACGTTACTTTTAAAAGCGCAGTTTCGGTACTATGATGAGTTTTATAGGCAGATTGGTAAATTTCCTCAAGACCATTTTTTCTCATGTGAGACAAAACTTGACTTAAAACAATCTTCTCTAGAATTTTTGAGACAAATTGCAAATTCGAAACTGGTCGATAGTTTTTAAATTCATTTTTATCAAGCCCGGGTTTTTTCAATAAAGGTTTTACAATAGCTTGTTTGAAAGTATTAGGTACTGTGCCAGATAAGGACGATAGATGTTTGATAGGAGAGAAGGAGGAGAGATAAGGACGATAGATGTTTGATAGGAGAGAAGGAGGAGGGATAAGGACGATAGATGTTTGATAGGAGAGAAGGAGCAACTCCCCCCATCCCAACTCCGATCTCCTCTGGGCTCCTCTCCCCTTAACTCTCCGCTCTTTGTTTCTACTGCTCTCCTCGATCTTCCTCACTGTTGTCGTTCAGCCACACCCCTGATCTTAGGGTCAGTAAGTAACCAAGTTTATTAATAATAAGAGCATTTGTATCCCGCCTTTCCCCACAACATGGGCCCCAAGGCGTACATAGGAGATTAAAAACCCATTCATACTAACACCATACAAATTCATCATGTGCGCACTTTTTGACAGCAACATTCTTTCAAACAATAAAAAATGCTCATACAAAAAGGCAAAGGTACTGTCCATTAATTAAAATATTTCTTAAATAGATGTGTTTTGAGTCCCCTTTTGAAAGTATCAAAGTTTTATTTCGGTCCTCAAATCATGAGGGAGAGTGTTCCAAACTGTTGGCCCAGAAAAAGAAAAAGCTCTCTCACCATATTTCTTCAGTGACACACGAGGTGTTGAAATTAGTCTAGAGCCACTGGATCTTAGTTATTCAGTGTTTAACACTTACAGTACCGCAGGCTCATATCTATAGAGAAAACTCAAAAACCCTTGGGTACTGCACCAGTTTAGAATGCTAAAGCCGTGGCAGAATTTTTTTTAATAAAAAAAAAAAAACCTCTGCAGCCCAAGAAACACGCTTTAAAAATTCACAGAGGTTCATCAACCATTCAGCTTTCATATAGAGTGACTTCCTTTGGTATTTACTTCAGCGCAGGACGTCCATTCATTGTTCAATTACGTTTAGTGTGCCTGGTTGCATCGGTGACTAAAGTCGCCAGCGGTAGTGAGCACATACTACGGCCTGGCGACGACGGTACTGTAAGTGTTAAAGTCAATAATAATTGTTACCTTCCTCTGCCAGATCTTTGTTCATCACCAACTTCCCGTGCCGCAAAAAGTTCAGGACCGGGCCAAAGTACGAGGGATCTCTGTCGATGAGGAAAGCTCCATCTGTGTCCTGAAACCAATCAGAAAAAAAAAAACACAACAATAATAACAACAATAGTAATATAATAAAGATTATAATAAAAATAATTATACGTGCCCATATGCTTGCGAGCGGCGTAAAACACTTTTACAACAACAAAAAATCTTTAAATAATACAACAGTAAAGTATTTAGTAAAATAGTAATCTCAACACAAAATATCACGCTTCGCAATACCTTCATCTCAACACAAAATATAGTGCTTCGCAAAAAATACCTTCATCTTACACAAAATATCGCGCTCTTCACTTCCACTTCATCTCAACACAAAATGATCGTGCTTAGCAACACCTTCATCTCAACACAAAATATTAAATGTTCTGTCGTCTGCCATCGTCTCCACTTTCTGTCCCCACCCCCTTGCCTCCTTTGCCCCCACCTCTGGGCTCCTGATTCTTTCTGCAGCCTTTCTACTGCTACTCCTTGGCTCCTTCTTACTGCTGTCTTTCAACCACACCCCTAATCTTCTGGTCGGAAAGATCTACACCTAGTCTTCTCCGACAAGGGCGGAAAATCTCGGAGAACCCGTGTGCATGTTGCGCACTCATTTTAAATATCAGATCCCTTGGTGGTCTAAAAACAATAAAGAGTAGGCTTTGGCCGCCACCTGGGCAAAATTCAAAATTTTTTAAGAACAAAGTTTATCATGGCGGAAAAATAAACTTGTAGGGACTCTAGATGGTAATTACCCAATTTCGATCAAAGTAACCCTGAAAATGATCTAGAATTTAGAATCTAGTTTCTAGTCTTACCTTGTCCGTGTTGAGATCTGCAGCTTCTTGAACAAGTCGGTACAGAAATGACTTCTGGTCCCTTCCAAGTGTTGTTCTTGTAGTCAAGAAAGTCGTACCTCCTACATTCAGTCTGACCCACTCACTTTTTCTAGAAATACTGTCATTTATGTCCATATTTGAGCTCGAGTTACAATTACCATTTGATCGATCTTGGCTGGCCATACTTTTTTCACCTTTGCACACAGTACTATCTTAGACAGGCTGTGTGGTAGATCGTTGGACACCGCAGAGTCCTAAATCCAGGCCTGGGCTGACTTTGATTTTGAGTGTGTTGACACTAGTATTGTCACTTTCTGAGTCCTTTCACTTTCCCTCATAAATTACCATAGATCAAGATCAGGCAGCTGTGTAAGACAAACTGAAAGGTGTGATCTTAACGCTAGAAGAATATTCAGTCTCAGCCGTAAGCAGGGCTTACATTGTATCTCTCTACAGGTAGTGGTTGGAGCAAGAGAGCAAGATTTACTTTCCTGTCTAATGTTCCAGAGCGCAGAATAATCAAAGATGATTGATCGGCAATCTCAACTTGCTAGATCTAGCAGTAGCCCCGTCACGATCTTTACTGTGCAAACGTAACAACACAATCATCAACACCCCAGAAATTCAAGTCATGTCGTCCACGAATATAAAACGAATGCATTACTCATCGACAGAAAATATCATGACAAAGATGAGCAGGGCATGGGTTTATTGTTTATTGGTTCCAGGTCGATTCCAGAGTCGATGCTGCGTTCCTTCTTCCTCTCCCTAGCCCAGATTGACATTTCCCATAGTTGGCCAGGTATTTGTTAACATGGTGCAAATGTGGTTGAAAAGTCAATGAAAAGCGAGTACAGAATTCCACGACAAGATGCGCTAGGCTAGAGTAGATCTATAACTGGGAAATGATTGTAGAAAATGAAACAAATTTTAATGAAGTATGCAAATCAGTGGCCCCCCACCCTTCCCCCTCTTCTCATACGGTAGACTGGCATAGTAAAATGAGCGATGCACCCTTGTATAACGGGGTCCAATAATATTGAGAAGAAGAGAGTCATAACAATATATTTAAAGAGGGGGGAGGGAAAAAATTCTTTATGCCACTGGCATAGATTCTAACATTTTTTCCACCACAATATTCTTATAATTCTAATATCGATTCATTGTACCGGTGTTTGGAAACATTTTTTTAAATTGAAAGAGACTTGGTAATTTTGGCCGAGAACAAGAAACCCGCGGCTTTGGCATACAAGGAATCTCGCAAGTGACGAAAGGCTGCGAGAGGTTTTGTCTATTTATACACTTCTTGTTTGATTTTCTTTGAATCCGTCTCCGTCCATAAATAATGCCTATTAAACCTCAATAAATACATTTTCGTGATTTAAAGGCTGAGTATAATAATATAACCAATACATTTTAATATATTCATTTTACATTTTCTCTCCAAGCTCCGATCTAACCACACTCTATGATGAGATGCATATGATGTTATCTCACATGCTTAAGAGAAACAAATACAAAATGATCTCGGGCACATTTTTAACAAGGCACGACTGTTTATAATTAGGCCAAATAAATAAGAGGCCTCGGATTGCACTGGGTACCCCTGAGTTAAGCAACAAACTGCCTGCCACAAATGAGGTAGCCTAGTGTTCTGTCTACATGTATTAATAAAACAGTAAACCTTTGACGAAAAGCGTGGCGCCCTATCAAGGTTAAACCTTTCCCAAAAAAATAGTTGAGTAGCCTAGACTCATTCTCTACGGGCACAGAAAAAAGGGAGTCTCGGCTATCATGCTTTTAACTCAAATCGATGGCAATTAAAGCATACAAGTGTAAGGTATACAATGTGGTAAGTTGTCTTACGGAAGAGAGAGGTGGGTGAGAAGAATATTAATGTCTGATTGAGAAATCCAAAGCCTGCAGGTTAATATGCTTGTCCCCAAACGTTTTTATGGTACTACAAGTGTTTGACCCATCGCCTATGTTCCATGTTGGAACAAGATTGACCAGCTGAAGCACGCAGATTTTAAGCTAAAGCTTTAAATCTTAATTGTTTGCTAGCAACGGCCAATTAATGTTACATCTAGTGATTTAATGCCTTATATTGGTTGAGTATACTGCTCTCTGTATAGGCCTGTGTATTGTTGAATTTCGAGCTCTGCTTTTAAATTGTTAGTCATTCACACTCCTTTGGCGACACTTACATTTCAACACTACATTACATCGTGCTGGGACAATATTGCCCAGGCCCACAATGACAGATCAAGAAATCTAGAGGGGAACAAGGGGGGGGGGGGAGTGAGAGAGAGAGAGAGAGAGAGAGAGAGAGAGAGAGAGAGAGAGAGAGAGGGAGAGAGAGAGAGAGAGAGGGAGGGAGAGAGAGAGAGAGAAAGAGAGAGAGAGAGAGAGAGAGAGAGAGAGAGAGAGAGAGAGAGAGATTTACTTTGAATTTTCTCTTTATTTCGGGGAAAAGGTGTGTGGGGGGGGGGGGGGGACGATTTGAATTTTAACATTAAAAAAATTACCATGACGTGTACAGCTCAGTATTGTGTTCTGATACTGGGAACACAATGAGCTGGGTTCCCGATTATTGAAAGCTAGGAATCATAGGAATCGACTCCAAACCCAATTACTTACTTTCTAATGATGTGATTTCTTCCGGTGTTTACCTGGTAGGTTCAGAACATCTTCATGATTGAGGGTAACCTTGATTTCGGAACACGGTTTTAAATGATTATAGTAACTGGTAGACTAACTTTTGGTTTACGTGAAAAAGAGTTGGAACTTTTCATCCGTTGCATTAATCGTGGGAAGCGGTTTTGGAATCGATTCTTCGCCCAGCAGTACCGCCTGAAGGTACTGAGAAGGCCTAGGCCCAGGCCAATAAATCTAGATAGTCGTGGTGCGGTGCGGTGGGTGACTTCCGATTCAAAATTGATAATCAAAAATGAAGTTAACGCATCAAATCAGGTTCCACGCGAGCCACTTTGCTTATATTGATGTACTGGTTCCGAAAAGGACTTATTTTTAGCGGCATCTGGTGTCTCTAGTGATTTATGACCAGCTTTCGTGCGAAGTGCACGGAAATTTGTGGTTACTTAAACAACATTTTGTCTCCCGGCTCTGCTCCCACAACAGTTGTTCAACTACACTTGACATTGGGGAAAGTTCTGAACCTGGTCTTGTCTCCTCCAGTTTTTAGCAATGGCGAGTGGTGCAACGAAAAGGGTCGTCTCCTCGGCGATCGACTGGACTCGATTTGCTGCTGTTTGTCCCAAATGGCAGGTAGAAATGTTGAGGGCAACTAAGGCCAAACACGATACCTTTGTGAACAAGTAAGTTAAGTCAGAAGATTTGTCTTGTTGTCTTGCCTCCTGACTCTTTCTGCAGCCTTTCTACTGCTACTGCTACTCCTTGGCTCCTTCTTACTGAACTGCTGCTGTCTTTCAGTCACACCCCTGATCTTCTGAAAGATCTACACCTAGCCTTCTTGGACGAGGATGAAAAATCTCGGAGGGCCAGTGTGCAAGTTGCGCGCGTTAAAGCTCCCTTGGTAGTTTAAAATCAATAAAAGAGTAGACTTCGGCTGCTGCCCGGACCCAAGCAAAATTTGGCACTCCTGTAGCCTACTCTGTACAATAGCGGTCCTGTTGGCACTAAATCACACTAGATCTAGATAGATCTAGAGTGGTGTAGCCCCTGCGCGTGCGCCTTCTCAGTGCGTGCACTTTTGTTTTCCTTTGTTTTTAGCCTCAAATTGCGTTTTTGCGTTTGATTGAATGCGTCAGTGTGTGCAGCAGCCATTTTTGTTTATTTCCATCACTCGTTTGCCGACAAGGGATCATCGAGAGTGTTTTTATCAGCTGTGGCAAGTTGACATTCAACGCTGACCTGCGAACTAGTTTTTATGATGACCTATTTGCCTCTGTTGGTTCAAATAGACTGTGCGCGCCCCCTAGCTTAAAAAATGGGCGCTTTTTCGGTAGTTCCCACCCCGCATTTGTTATTCGCCGGTTTTGGCCCCAAGAGTAGGGGGGTTTCAGGGGGGCTTGCCCCTGACCTAATAAAAACAAGGTGGGGGGTTTCAGGGGGGCATGAATTTTACCACAATTTAATGTTTTGCAGTTGGTGACATCTTAGCTTGCCGCGAATCAAACGTATATAGATCTAGATGTAGGTCAGGCTCTATCAAATAAGGGGGATGGGAACTACCGAAAAAGCGCCAAAAAATGTGCCTACTCCTTCCTTGAGTGTTTCACGTGACCTTTTATCGAGTTCTATGCCAAGTTGTAATGCGGGTTTGGGGATCGGGGGGGTGCACGCGTTGTGAAGACTGAAAAAACTCGAGTTTACTCTGCGCGTGCACAATGAAATAGAATCTATATAGAATCTAGTAGAATACTAAGAAAAAAAGTAGACTCAAATTTAGAGATTATTTGGTTGCAGTTTGAAGAATGTCATGGATGGTGGCATGTGGACTGTGTGAAAGATGGAAAGATCAGAGGAATGAGTGATGAAGAGTAGGAAAATGTGGATTTTAGTTGTGAAAAATTCTGTTTGATTTTTTTTCACTATGTATTTGAACTATTTATACCCCCTAAATTAAATTAGTTTAGATTCTAATTAAAATTGCCTTACTTTGCTTCTAAAGTGACTTGTTATCTTCCTGTGTGGTCATTTAATGCAGTAATGTTATCAGATTCTTCTTCTTTTGGCTTTCAACGTGTATATATGGGTGCACGCTCAGTGAAGAATCCCATGCACGCACTGAGAAGAAATGCACGCTCAGTGAAGACAACACCCTAGGTTGGAAAAACTGTTGGGCACACAACGTTTAAGAAATCTGGCGACTATGAGCAAGACCATTTTATAGGTCAATAGTTTCTTGAATGGAGTAGCTAAAAACGAAAGTACAAAGCCGGAAATGGCGGAAAATACGTTCAACGATCGCGAAGTGCACGCGTACAGGCGACACCACTCTAGGCCTAACACAGAGTACTGGATATCGATACTGATTTAAATAGTCTGTGTATCAATGTTTTATGTTTTATCAATGGAAGCATGGCTATCCTCACCCGGGGTAAAAATACGATCGACCTCTAGATCTACATGCGATTAAACGTAGAAAGACGCAAACTATTTTTAGGTACGATGCCCATCTTGTTTGACGTCACACCAGGATTCCCCTCCAATCATGTGACTACATCTAAGTATAGCCTACCGCATGGCACCAAAGATGGAAGTGTCTGTTGTTTAATTTACACCACGCTTTCGGAAGTTCTGATGGCTGAATAGACAGCGCATCTGCGTTTGAAGTCGTGCAATGATTTTAGGAGCGGTTCGATTCCTGTCCCTGACTATTTTTTTTTTCTCTTTTCCTCCTCCCGACTGACCAAGAGTTAAGACTTGAGTCTCCTAAATTATCATTTGTAGAGCTGCTTTGAAGTTTGTTTGTTTTTTAATGTATTACATATTAGTGATGAAGAATGCAGGAAGGGGGGGGGGGGGGGGGGTTTAGATCTAGATCTAGGTCTAATCTTCCAGCGTCTTTACGGCAATTGTTGTACACTTCCATCTTTTTTGCCATGCGGTTGGCTTACTTAGATGTAGTCACGTGATCAGAGGGGAATCCTGGTCTGACTTCAAACAAGATGGGCGCCGTACCTAAAAATAGTTTGCGTCTTTCTACGTTTAATCGCATGTTCGACCTCTCACCCCGGGTGAGACTTGCCAGCGTTGGCTATTTTCACCCGCTGTGAAACAAGACCTGTTTTTCCTCATTTCGGAATAATCGGTGTGGATGATCAAATTGATAAAAGCCAAGAAAAAATGACGTTATAGCACAAAAGTAAGATAATTTGATCATCTACAAAGATGCTATGGCTATTTCACTTTTCGAATCGAGCGGAACTAGCTGAATGTTTGTTCACGGCACAGAATTTTACAATTCTGTTATCTTAGTTTAGAATTCTGTGGTTCAGGGAGAACGCTACACTGGTTGGCCAAGGCGATACACGGTGAACGCACACCGGGTGAGAATAGCCAAAAGACTCGCCTGGGCTATTCTCACCTGGGGTGGCCTTTATCAATAGATCTCAAGATATCTGCGATTGACGGAAGTGAAGTCGCCTGGTGAAAATGGCTGCCAAATTTGGGTGACTTCAGTAGCTAAAGAGTCTTTGAAAACTGAAGAATGACATTATATTTTTTGCCTTTGATATTCAATGTTTTTCAGTAAAATGCACATATTTATATATGGCTTCTGGAAATGTGTTTTTATGTTTCCATAAAGAAGAAGCTCTAAGCCAAAAATGAAAAATTCAATCAAAATTTCCAAACTGGTGGAAAAATGCTTGTTTCTCCTATTACTGTCTTTTGATGAGCGCCTGATCTCACCAGGTTGCCTCACTATGTCCGTCCGTGCTGCGCATGCTCAATGTTTTGTTTTGTGTTTGTGGACTTCCCCAGTTCCTCGTTGTTCTCGACTGTGAGTGGGTGGTTAGCGGGTGCTCTGGTGTGGTTTGCAAATTCTTTTCTTTCAAATATCTATGGTCCTTATCTCCCCTCCTTTTTTGTGTTTTGTTACACTTTTGTCGTGGGTGGTTGGTGGGTGCTCTGGTGTGGTTTGCTCCTCTTCTTTCCTATAAAAAATCTATCGCCTTTGTTTCCCCTCCTTCTTTTTTATGTTTGTTACTCTCTTGTAACACCTCTAATCTTCGGCACTTATATATATGACCTTATTGTGTTGCAAGTACCGTAAAACACTAAAACAAAACTCTCTTATAACACCTCTAATCTTTGGCACTTATGTGACCTTATTGTGTTACAAGTGCCGTTAAACACTTACTAAAACAAAACTCTCTTTATAACACCTCTGATCTTCGGCACTTATATATGGCCTTATTGTGTTGCAAGTGCTGTAAAACTCTTACTAAAACGTTAAAAAGTTCTCGACTGTTTTAGCTTGGCTCCCTTTGGTCGTCTTGACCGTCATGCCTTTGTCTGTTTTGTGCTCACCTCTGTTCCACTTGATGAATTTTATCTTAAAATCTTATCTCTATCTTATTCCCCCGTCCCAGAGTGCACCAGCTTCCTGAAAATTTGCCCAAGATTGACTTTGCCAGCTACAAGTCCAGGCTGCCAGACCCCACTATGGCTGACAGATTTCAGAAAGCTGTGAGTTGATTTTTCTTCTTCTGGGAGGGGTGGGGGGAGGGTAATTTTTTTTTTTTGTGGTCAGGTATCCCTATTTTGTGCCAGCTATTTGTTACTTACATAGAAAACATATGCCATAACGGTAGTAATGTTATGGTTCCTGAAAAACAGACACAAATCAAACCTCCCCCTCCCCCCCCTGGGGTGGTGCGACTGACTGAAATGTCTTTAGGCCATTCACAAAATGGGGACATTAACATGTTCTTATGCACAGTAGAATTGTAAATGGACTGATTCATCAATGTCATGCTCATAACTGCCTTAACTGCTTTTTTTCCACTAATCCTTACTATATTGTCATTTTTCATCTACTTCTTTTGTATGTTTGTCACTCTCTTGTGACCCGCTATTTCCGGGGTGCCTTGGTAGTCGTGGAAGCAAGACTTTGTGCTGTTGAAACTAGAGAGGTAACAAATTTCCTCTTACGGTAATTTTCCTCCCAATTCCTTCCCCAGTACGAGGCGTTGAGTATACCGTACCCGGTGGACAAGGCCAATCTTTTGCAGAAAGTGGAGGCTCAGAACTCGGAGAAGGTCAGTTGTGGGTGTTTGGCGGGTGCTCTGCTGCGGTTTGCTTCTTCTTTCATATGAGCAATTGCCAAAACGTGAGACTCTCTTGAGACTCAGTGGTGCAAAAAAATTTTCTTACCAATTTGACTCTCTTTTCTGTCAGTCACAGATTGACATTTAGTGCTCATATTCCTAGAGTATCAGAGCAAGGAGATGTACGGTTTTGGAGATATGGGTCTATTGGTTTGGCAACTACTGTATTTCTTGTATGTAACAGTGATGACAAAAACAGATTTAAGCAGCAAGGCAAATAATGGACTTTAAATTCCATTTGTTTAGTAAACAAAGACTTTGTACACTATGAACTCCATTCATAATGGTAATATGAATGGCAAGCTTTGTAACAATGACGCAGTGCACAGAACATGTCATCATTGTTATGTACAAGAAAGGATACACATTGGACATTATCACTGACAACACATCACAATAGTGAAAGGCTGTACAAATACAGTTTCAAAGCCTCAGTACCAGAAAAACACATGTGTAAAACAATTTTTTAACTAATATGAGGCAAAAGCACAAAATCAATGGAGCTGACTTGTACATAACAGTGATGACAAACATGACTTGTACATAACAATGATGACACAATGTACAGGAAAAGACAAAAGTCTTGCCTCCAGAGATAAAAGCGCACTTTAAGAATTTTAAAAAAACCAGGAGAGGTTTCTTTTGCTTTGAAACAGATATCAGGTCATATCAAAGACAGTGGACGATCACAATTATGTGGCTAATTATGACAAACAGTACTCGTACATAACAGTGATGACAAAACATACTGGGAAAAGGTCAAATCATGCCTACAAAGAACAAATTTGCACTAAGAGATACACAGATCAATAAAGGCGTATTTTGCTTCTAAATGAATCTTGCATGTATGAAATATATGTTGAAAACGTATTGATATTAGCAATTATGAAAAATATTACTTGTACATTATAACAATGATGACACAATGACACAATGTATTGGAAAAAGGTATATCATACCAACAAAGAACAAATGTGTATTTTTGAGTTAGACAGATAAACAAGGACATGTTTGTTTATTTGTTTGAGTAAAGAGAGCACACATTACTTAAAAAATGTTTGCTCTTAGGACAATGTAATTTCTTGTACGTTAGTCAGTCTTGTACGGCTGCATGACGACACCCCAAATGTCATCACTGAGCACAAAAGCTAAATCTATAACCACAGAAATGATCCATCTCTCGAAGTTTGTTCACACATCACACTCTTGTTCCAGGAATCCAGTGTAAACACCGCAATTTCACTAAAATATTCAACAGAGTAGCCTAAAAACACGCAAAACAGCCCAGTAAGTCACATTCAACGCAAAATTCTTGTGCGTCACCGGACGCTGAAGGCAAGGACTATTTTCGTTTTTCTGTTTCCCCCGTTGCTTCCGTTGTTCTGGGGACGCGGGTAAGGGGAAGTCACTCAAGAAAACAATTATATCCGGACAATTTTGATGACCGGTTCAAAACAAAAGTGGGCGAAATTCGGACTTCCGGCACGTCGCAAGTTGACGACAATAACGGCCAATGTTAAACAGCCGACCGAAATCGTAGATCTAGGAACCCGATGTTCCTTTCGCGCATCGCGGCTTTTGAAGTATTGAATAAACGACGATAGGCAAAGAGATTTAACCAGCTGCGGTGATTCTACTGAAAAATAATGGTGTTTTCTGAGACACCTAGTCCGTGACGACACGACAGACGCACAAGTAATCCGAATTGTTCGTCTATTTGCAAACAAATAAACCGATTTCTTGAGCAAGTTAACCTTTCTCAATGACAAATAACATAGGATCAAAGCACACGTAAAAAAAACACACCCAAAAATACTAAATTTTGGACATTCTTGGAAGTTTGCATTGGTGTGCTCAAAATGACACTCCAGGAATCACTAAAAAACGAACATTTTTGGCACAAAATTTACAAACTCAAGATTATAAAGCTGACAAGGGGTCTGAAACTGCTAATGCAGGTTCTACATCCTATATTTGACGTGTGTATACATTTTGGAGGAATAAATACTAATGCATCACATTTTATGCACACTAATGTGAGATGTGTGTGTTTTTCCCCACGTTTTGGCAATGGCTCATATAATAAAGACTGTCGTCCTTCTCTCTTCTCCTTTTTTATGTTTGTTACTCTCTTGTAACACCTCTAATCTTCGGCACTTACATGACCTTATTGTGTTGCATGTGCTGTAAAACTTTTACTAAAACTAAAGAAAGTCAGTTCTTTGTCAAAAGTATGTCAGATTTCCTGACAAGGTCGGTTATTTGTCAAAAGTATGTCAGATTTGCTGACGACCTGTCAACGGGGTCTCCTTGTCTGTGTGTTCCTAGTAAAGCTGGATGGTTGGGGGGTGCTCTGGTGTGGTTTGCTCCTTTCTTTCCTGTCAAACATCTATCATCTTTATCTCCCCTCCTTCTTTTTTGTGGTTGTTACTCTCTTGTAACATCTCTAATCTCCGGCACTTATATGACCTTATTGTGTTGCAAATGCCGTAAGACTCTTACGAAAAAAAAACCCAACTCATCCTAACTTTTTCTCTTTGGTTTTCAGGAGCAAGAGGTGAAAAGGTTCAAGACTGAGATCCAGGCAGAGATTGAGGAGAGCAAGAGTTTTGTAAGTAGCCAACAGATCTGCCAGAAGTTATATGTAAATAACCTGCAGATATGCCAGAAGTTATATGTAAATATCCAACAGATCTGCCAGAAGTTATATGTAAGTAGCCAACAGATCTGCCAGAAGTTATATGTAAATAACCTGCAGATATGCCAGAAGTTATATGTAAATATCCAACAGATCTGCCAGAAGTTATATGTAAGTAGCCTGCTGATCTGCCAAACGTTATATGTAAATGGCCTGCTGATCTGCCAGAAGTTAAATGTAAATAGCCAACAGATCTGCCAGAAGTTATATGTAAATAGCCAACAGATCTGCCAGAAGTTATATGTAAATGGCCAGGAGATCTGCCAAAAGTTATTTAAGTAGCCAGGAGATCTGCCAAAAGTTATTTAAGTAGCCAGGAGATCTGCCAAAAGTTATATAAATAAACAGCAGATCTGCCAAGTACTCCAAATAAAGTCAGAACTCTCCAATGTTTTTTCTCACATCAAAGAATGGATTTGCATTTTTTTTAAATTTTCGTCTTGCATTCTGTTTCTGTCGGGTAGTATGCAACGTGTGGCACATGATGTGTAAGTACACAATTGTACCTGATTTTATTTTCAATATTTAAGCGGCTTATGGTAAATGACATGAAAAAATTATTTTTTTTTTTGCGTTTCTGTGTGTGGATTGGCAGTACGCATTTGCAACTCTTGGTTTGCTATGTAATGTTAACTCCCAGTGGCTCGCGGTGCGAACCGCCATGCCGGTGAGCCACTGACAGCGACTCGGGCACACTCCTTTACGATGACTTCGACATCAAATCAGCAATAGCCGAAAACAGGTCTCTTATACCGGAAGGGAGTTCGTTGATTAGATGAAGTACTATCATAATAGGTTTGCTAGTTTTGATTTAATGACCCATTTAGTGACGTTTTTGTCATTTTTAGAATTAGTACCAAAAAAAGGCCCTGGCGTCTTGGGTTTAACCCCTTAAGAGATAAAGAGTTAACCTACAGTTGTTCTGGACACTCCAAATCTGTTTCCCGAACTCTGACCGCAAGGGAAAGATAGAGAAATAAACTCAGACAAGAAAAAATCTCCATGAAAAAAAATAAGGTGTTATCTATAGTTTGGCAATCTCTTCAAACATACTTCCAAATATCATCTTTTAACCCTCTAAAAGCACTAAATTTCCATTTCTTCGGGGGTTTCGGCGGATGCTCTGGTGTGGTTTGCTCCTTCTTTCCTATCAAAACGTCTGTAGTCCTTCTCTCCCCTCCTTCTTTCTTTTATTTGTTACTCTCTTGTGACACCTCTAATCTTCGGCACTTAAAGACCTTATTGATATTGGGCTGCCAGTGCTGTAAAACACTTACTGAAACATAAAACAAAATCTCTCCTGTTTTCCTTTGCTACTGTCTCGTAGCATTTCTAATTTTCACCACTTATGTACAGTTCCGTAACCTACTTGAGTTGCAAGCACTTAACACGTTTACCCAAAATGAAAGCTAAACAAATCGCGACCGCAGCGCTTTCTTGTCGTATCTCCATTTTTAATAACAGTGAAAACAGTTCGTAACGAAGAGTGAGCTTAATTAAGAAGATGTTGTATTTTCACCTCTTTAAAAAAATGGAGATACGACAAGAAAGCACTGAGGTCGCGTAATGTCCCAAGGGGGGATCAGCTGGGAGGTATGTGTGTGGCGCTCATATGACCTAGACCTGCATGTTTGCCGACAATCGCAACCCGACCTGCGAACCGGCCGATGCTATCGCTAGACCCGCCTGTATCAGTCAATGTGCGTAGTGTGAGGCCTGGCCGACTGCCGGCGACGCGCGCACCGCCGACTGCCGACGTCGGCGTTTCCGACATAATTGTCGGAACCTAAGTAGAAATGCGAATACGAAAAAGGACGACAACTTAAATTATCTAGGCCTACTGTACTTTCAGTTTCGTGCTCGAGCGGCCATTTTGAATTTCGTTTGTTGACTAATTCAATTGTTCAGATCGTGTGGATTCATTCAAGTCCGACTCTCTTGTTCTAATAGAATCTAGATCTAGATTTATATAGATCATTATAGACCTCAATGGAGGATTCATGTTCCAATTCTATTGTGTCAAACCCTATCATAGGTTGTGCTGTAATATTCATATTGGTAAAAATAAGCATTTCATCAGGTGCGTGAATTATTTATTTATTTAGATCTAGATCTAGATCTAGAATCTAGACTCAGCTGAGTCCCTCTGTTTGGAATCGGATGCGGATTTCTAGTTCAAGGCCTATTCCTATTCACTTGTTCTACAAGATCTAGATCTAGATTTATTTAGATTGCTAGATCTAGATCTATATGGAGTATTCATATATGATATTCCAATTCTATTGTGTTATTGTATCAAACCCTATAGCAATGTAGATGTAAGCCATATAGATCGAGAATCTAGATCTATATGCTCCTTGTTTGTTTTGGAGTGTGGGTTTTTAATTTTTAAAATTTTTTCATTTAGGACTTGTTTTGGCCTTTTTACAGAGGCCCGTTGCAGGTTCTTTTTGGGGGTAGGGTTAGGGTTAGGTCTCTTCTTTATTGTGTTTGTTGGGGTGGTCGCTCGTTACTCGGATGTCCTTCCTTATGACACCCACAAAGGCTTTTTTTTGGGGGGGGGGTGCGCAAAATTTTCAGACAATCTGGTTGAGGCTCACATGCAGGTCTAATGACCTTATGCAGTTGCGAGCGCCGTAAAAGCTTACTAAAAACTAAAAGAAAAAATGAGTCCGTTTATGTGTCTGTTTGTTTGTTACAGTTGAAGAAGATCGACACGCTGCCCAAGTTTGAGGAGATGACGGAGGAGATGTTCTGCTACTACTTCCCCGAGACATGGCAGGATCCCGCCAAGCCAAAGTTCTGGCCCTACGTGGAGACGGAGCAGCCCGGGGCGCCAGGATTCAAGTACGCCAAGTGAACGGTTCGCGCGCTCTGAGTGAACGGTTCGCTAATGGTTCTAGTACGCCAAATGAAATGGTTCGCTCATGGTTCATGTGTGCTCTAAGTGAACGGTTCGCTTATGGTTCAAGTGCACCAACTGAACGGTTCGCTCGTGGTTCAAGTGTACTTTAAGTGAACGGTTCGCTTATGATTCAAGTGCGCCAAATGAAACGGTTCAGTGATAGTAAATAAAAGCTGCTCCTTCGCTCTCAAAAGTTTTTTTTTTCCGAGGAAGGCTGTAGCCGAAGTTTTTACTTTTTCTCTTCTTTTTTTTTTTAAATCTTGTTTTGTTCTGGGAGAAATTGAAGTAAGTTGAATGTAGCGTTGAGCATGTTGAGCTGAGGTGGCCATTCAGCGGCTCCGTCGCGGTGCGTCGCCAATAAAGCTGTTTGTGTCGACACCCACTGCCTCGTGTTAGTCTTGTCACTGGCCCAGTCTCTCTCTGTGGGTGGTTGGCGGGTGCTCTGGTGTTGTTTGCTTTTTCTTTCCTATCGAACATCTATCGTCCTTATGTCCCTTTCTTCTTTTTTATGTTTGTTACTCTCTTGCAAGTGGGTGGTTGGCGGGTGCTCTGGTGTGATTTGTTTCTTCTTTCCTATCAAACATCTCTCCAGAGCTGTTAAAGTACTTTTTAAAAAGTACTTAAGTACAAATTTAAGTATCTAAAAAATGTACTTGAGTACAAGTACTTTTTTAAAAAGTACTTCTGAGTACATTTTGAGTACTTTCTGCTAATATGCTAAAACACTTCAGCGCTTATACAAAACTTCATATTAAATGACATATCCAGTATATTTGACAAATTTGGCCATTTATTACTAAAAATGTATACAGTATACAAAGCATTTGAAACAAAGTACGCACTGAACGAAGGTGGAAATGGTCCGTGAAATTGAAAAAACCCCCAAACAAACTGACGCAACTAGTGGGTAAGTGATATTATGAATAGAACTTGTTTGAGCAAGACAATGTGATCAAATGTAAGTCAGTCCAAGAGGTCGGAAAGTTCTACAGAAAAAGTATCCAAACTGGAAAATGTAGATACAAAGTTGCTCTTAAGAAAACATAAAATTAATGAAAATGGAAAGCATAGAAATTAGAAATGGAAAAGTGCGTTGAATTCTTCAGTAACAAATCCCCAAGGAATGAGAAGAGGAAACTCCTCGTGCGTACGGCACTCAGTGGCTGGTGGGGTCAGGAAAACACTGAGGGTTTGGACAGAATTTCTGAAGGAGGAAGACAATAAAAAAGAGCTAATAAATTTTATTCTCAATAAATGGCAAAGTGGCACTTACATCTTTTACGAATAAAAGAGGGAAGTTTACTTTGCGCGTGACAATTTATGCTTTTTCCTTCCAAGTGTAGTCTATCTGTCCCCGTGGTTTTATGCACCCCGCATAATTTAGCAAAATTTGATCATTTTTTGCATAATTTCTGATTATTTTTCTTTATCTTTCTTTGTTAAAATTAACAGAGTCGCATAATTTCACATTTTTGGGCTCATTTTGCATAATTTCAGAATTTTTCTTGCGTAAAACAACGGGGACAGGTGTATGGAAAAGTAATTGGTTCAAGACCAGGGTGTCCTACCACTACAGGGACTGGAGTGTCTTTATTTGGCCATTCCCAAAGGATACTAACAACATGTTCTTGTGCACAGTAGAATTGTAAATGGGCTGATTTATATCCATGTCGTGCTTTTACTGTGCCAGAACAACAGAGGGGGAACTGCTGCTTTTTCTGTCCTCATCCTTACTATCGTCATTTTCCCTCTACTTTTTTTGTATATTTGTCACTCTCTTGTGACCTGCTATTTCCTGGGTGCCTTGATAGTCGAAGTAGACATTGTGCTGTTGAGGCTAGAGAGGTGAGCAGAGTAAGTCTGATTCCCTGTAAGGACTTCTCTGTTGACATCCACCCCTTGGCGATCATATGACCTTATGCAGTTGTGAGCGCCGTAAAACCTTAATCGAACTAAAAATTAAACCAGACCAGTGACAAATCTCTCATCGAGCCAAGAAGAAGCAGACACTCTCATCATTGTTCACGCTATTTATTGATTCTAACAAAGAAGCAGACACTCTCATCATTGTTCACGCTATTTATTGATTCTAACAAAGAAGCAGACACTCTCATCATTGTTCACGCTATTTATTTATTCTAACAAAGAAGCAGACACTCTCATCATTGTTCACGCTATTTATTGATTCTAACAAAGAAGCAGACACTCTCATCATTGTTCACGCTATTTATTTATTCTAACAAAGAAGCGGACACTCTCATCATTGTTCAAGCTATTTATTGATTCTAACAAAGAAGCAGACACTCTCATCATTGTTCACGCTATTTATTTATTCTAACAAAGAAGCAGAAAATTATCTGGATATCCTTGTCCGGTCACCGAATACATAATGAGTATATCTGTCCCCGTGATTTTATGCTCCCCACATAATTTAGCAACATGTGATCTTTTTTGCATAATTTTTGATTATTTCCCTGTATCATTCTTTATTAGAATTAACAGAATCGCATAATTTAACATTTTTGGCTCAGTTTGCATAATTTCAGAATTTTTCTTGCATACAACGACGGGGACAGAATAGTCTAAACTCTATATAATGCTTTTAGATTTACCGGCTGTGATGTCAACAGTGCACTTTTAGATTTACCGGCTGTGATGTCAACAGTGCACTTTTAGATTTACCGGCTGTGATGTCAACAGTGCACTTGCCCAGGAAGGAAAGAAGCCACTGACCTTTCTTTCCAAAAGCCCAGAATTGATCATTTATGTGAACCTTCAAACAGTTAGGCCAGAAAGAGACAATATCTGAAAGTTTACTTCTTCAGATATCTGTCCCCATCGTTTTATGCAAGAAAAATTTGAAATTATTCAAACTGAGCCCAGAAATGTGAAATTATGCGATTCTGTTAATTTTAACAAAGAATGATAAAGGAAAATAATAAGAAATTATTCAAAAAATGATCAAATTTTGCTAAATTATAATGCTGGGTGCATAAACCACGAGGACAGAGATAGAAAAATGTGTGGGTCATCTCTCAGGGAAACTAACCTAGGCCAGCACAAACAGACTAAGATATCATATGTGAGGCATCGTGGTAAAATCAGGCTCTCGTCAATTTTTGGGCATGTAGAGTTATTGGTATCATCTTAAAGCTTGTTCACTTGTCTTTGTGTGGATGAAAAAAATATCCATTTATCTTGAATACAAGTCGAGATATTTGCGAATGAAGGAGGTGGAGGTCACCTGTTTTCAGAGGTAAAATTAGTGAGAAAAAGGCTGCCAAAGATTAGTTATTTCCTTAGCTTAAGAGTCCGTGGTAACTGAAAATTTACATTTTTTGTGCCTTTAATCAACGTTTTTCCAGAAAAATCCACACAAAAATGAATTTTTTAATGGGGATGAAAGGAGTTGAGCCAAAAAACAAAAATTTGATAAAAATTCACAAACCTGCGGAAAAATGCAAGTTTCTTCACTTTGATTATTTTGACGAGAGCCTGATTCCACCACGCTGCCTCACAAATAGTAGGCTACATGTATAAGTAAGACAAAACTACCTTCTGAAGAAAGGAGAAACTCTGTTACCAAGCGTTCAATGTCTCGACATCAGTCTATTATAATACTTGTATTATTATTAAAATGTACCGCCTTATCAGCAAGCGCTGAAGATGCACAGCTGGGCAAATATGGTCGCTGTTATCTTTAAGCGCAAGGCGGCTATCCCGAAAAATGCTGTTTTGAGAAAATCGAAGGTAAAGCTTTTGCCCCGTGTTCAGTTTCTTTAAAAGACAAGGAGAGTTTTCTCTATAACCAAACAAATATACGCACCAATGAAACCAAACTTCTCCTATAGGTAGGGCAATGCCCACTTTTGGTGTAGGTCAAGATTTCTGGAAAACCCCGAAATCTGGGTTAGCTTAAAAAAGCGACCAATAATTATCAAGCCAGGGTTTGGAGGCAAGCTGACATCCCTCAATCAGACATTCCAAAGGGGGCTCTCGTGGCCTAGAGGTTAAGGTGTTCGCCTTTCACTCAATTAGGTCCTGGGTTCGAATCCGGAAGCGACGGAAAAATTTATGTCCTGAAATTGTCTCCTTCACCTCCTTTCCTGCTCTCTAGCAATGTTCTAGTTCTATCGTCTGCTTTCGTCTCCACTTTCTGCCCCCACCCCCTCACCTCCTTTGCCCCCTCCTCTGTGCTCTTGACTCTTTCTGCAGCCTTTCTACTGCTACTCCTTGGCTCCTTTTTACTGATGTCTTACTTCTGCCACACCCCTGATCTTCTGGTAGGAAAGATCTACATCTAGCCTTCTCGGACAAGGGTGAAAAATCTCGGAGGTCCCGTGTGCAAGTAAGTGGCACACGTTCAAGTTAAAGATCCCTTGGTGTCTAAAATCGATAAGAGTAGGCTTCGGCCTCCACCCGGGGAAAATTAGAAATTTCTTACCAAATGAAAATGTTTAGTGTGTCCTGCACGCTCATATGACGTTATGCTGATACTTTGCGAGCGCCGTAAAAGTTAAAACACTTACCCCCCCCCCCAAAAAAAAAAAAAAAACAACAACCAAACAACAACAACAACAACCAAACAACAACAACAACCAAACAACAACAACAACAAAAGAGATTCCAGAGCCTTCAACTTCAAGTGAAGGTTGGACAAAAAATGCTACATGTACAGTGATGGGATTTTATAACATCGACGGGTGGTGTACAGATTGGTGAAAATGTTGAAATGGTAGAGGTTTAACGCCCCTACCAACACTATTAGGTTATTTAAGAGGCGGGGCCTCCGAGTTTAACATCCATCTCCGAAAGGACCGAGTCAAGTGACAAATCCGTGTGAAGTGTCTTTCCCAAGGACACAACGTCGGACCAACCTGACGCTCGAACCCCCGAACCTGCAATCTCACGATTACAAAATTACAGGTCCGATATCCTATCCACTAGGCCACTGACGCCACTACAGATTGTATCCTCAGCAGCTTATTGTGGATATTCTTTATGAAAATCAAAATGACAATGAATTAAGAAGAGAGACAGAATGAAGAAGAAGATATTCGGGAAGAGCAATCTGAAGAGGCAGATACATGTACAGTCCATGCCGGCTTTAAGCACGCTTAAGCTTTCTCCCGATGACCGCGTTTAAAGCCGGCATTGACTGTACTTCCAATTTGGAGCCAAGCTCTCAGACGTGACGAAGCTGAGAATGAATGGTGGACGGTGGTACATGGATGTGTTTTGACAAGTCTTGGTACGTTGTAGAGACAGCCAAAAATATGTGATTAATTTTTTAATGTGCATTTTTGGGGTGCAAAATTCCTTCTCTGCCTCTCATGACATATTGTCACAATCAACAACAATCATTAATTAGAAATGGCGCTCA